TCCAGGAAGAGCTGATGGAGAGACCAAGCTTCAAATATTGGTGGAGCAGGGCCCCTGGCTCTAAATATTCCTGGAGCATGGGCACCACGAGCTCATATAACTCGCCGCCTATGATTATGTTACTAATATGGTAAACTTGGGTATGACTTCATAAGAGAAGACTGCATTCTGAAACTTCTGTTTTAATAAAAAATACCCCCAAGAGTAATAAAAGGGTTAGTTTTGAGGCAGAAGTTTCAGAATGCAATCTTCTCTTATGAAGTCATACCCAAGTTTACCATATAAGTAACATAATGATGCAATATTTTCAGACAGTCTGAGACTTACATTATCTAGCTATTTTCATGCTTCATTTGTTGTAAATCATTTTGTATATCAGTGACCTATGAATTGGATGTATGGGAAGCCACCTTATCACTGATAAAAGATCATTACAATGTGCTATTTTAATGTAGCTATCAATGAAGTGGTCTGTCAACTGTACTCTGGACATTCTTCCTCTGAGCCACCTCAGAAAGGTCTTGTTCCATTAGCTTTCTTAGCTGAATCAATAAAACAGGTGCAATCAGCAACTCTGTGAGATACTCCAAGGATCATTGTGGAAGCAATGATATCTGGAGAAGATCCAGCAGAGCCAACTTCTGCACAGACAATGAAGTCACCTAGATCAATCGGTTTTAGTAACTCCAGTGTTAAATAAGATATGGTGTTATATTTATAAGATCTTCACTTACAATCTCATCTAATGTCCATTAAATGAGCCAAATGAATCCCACTATGTTATTCTTGTGTACTATAGTGACATTTTTTCCTAAAATTAAGTTCTCATAACTAACATTGATATGTGGCTAAAAATCTTACAAAATCTCCCATTCCATTTCCAAATACACACCACAAACTGAAACATCATACTGTAATCATGGTTCTCAAATTTCAATCTCTTCCTATAGTGAGTCCAAATAATGTATTTCTTTCCTCTATTTTATTTTTAAAATGGAAGCTTATCTTGTATTTCTTTCCATATGTAATGAACAACCTATTCCTCTTGAGAAGCATAAGCCAGAAGTGCATTAAGTGTAAATGAAACAGTTCATAGAGCACATAAAATTAGTTGGCTAGTTTATATGGTATCACATTTATACATATTTTAAGTGCACATTAACTACAAAACTGAAAGGTCAAATTTTGTATTTTCCAAGCTAATACATGTAATTACCACTAATTTACAATGGTAAACATTCTGAAGAAGGATGAGCTACCAGTCCATTTGAAGGGCTGGATCTTTAGGACCATATTTTGCTTGGACCAGAGTTCAGACGATTTATTTTCTAACATTAGTCAAATGCTCCTGGTTGTTACTTTAGCAATACTCTACAGTTACTTCTTCAAGTTATGAAAGTTTCTATCCTGTCACTCTGTAATATCTCAAAACTGACAACTTAATGATTTTACCAGTTTCCGATGAAATCCCATAGCTCTATAGGAAATGACAGATTTGAAATCCTGTAGGGAGGTTATTTTATACATTTTTGACATGTGGGAGATATTTTTTCCTACAGCAGAAATACTTAAGACAAAAGTGATTCTTTTCACATCTTGTGTTTGTAAACAGCTGACATGGTTAAGAAAGATTTAAAGACATAAAATAAGTACCAAAATCAAGCCTTTTTGAGACTTGCTTTCAATTTTAAGCATTTACAAAGGTAATTCTCTAAAAAATATATACTTTTCATATATAGTAGAGATCATTTTATAGACCTAATTATAGTTTTTTTGTTCTTTCTTGCTTGTTTATTATACATTTAAACTTATATATTCATAGTTAGGCACACATATCTTTATTTAAGCATGTATGGACTGAGTCAATTTAGTTGATATAATTCATACCATACTTGGATAAATAAATCAACACCTAGGTGTCTGGTTCAGAATTCATATTTGAAAATTGAGACCCTAATGCATTAAATATCTAAAATTAATATGTGCCAAGACAACATAGTATTCACTTATGTAATTATCCTTCAGAAACACATAGAAGATAACATCTCTACAAACACAAATAAAAGAAAAAAATAGGGACAAATTATCCACCGTAGCACAAAGACATGCATGAAAGTGAAAAAATTGAATCAGCAACTCTGAGTTGAAAATAAACATGAAGAGCCACAGGCTCCGATTCCTCTCAGAGAAAAGATCTGATGGCAGAGCCTTTCCATTGTGCAGAATCATAGATGCATAGATGTTCTTTGGATATGTGTATTCTTGGACACCCCTCCCTGCTAATTTTGAGGTACATCACTCCGGGTATGTCTACACTACCACCCTAGTTCAAACTAGGGTGGTAATGTAGGCAACCGGAGTTGCAAATGAAGCCCGGGATTTGAATTTCCCAGGCTTCATTTGCATCTCGCCGGGCGCCGCCATTTTTAAATGTTCGCTAGTGCGGACTCCGTGCCGTGCAGCTACATGTGGCACGGACAAGGTAGTACAGACTAGGCTTCCTAGTCCAAACTACCGTTACTCCTCGTACCGTTACTCCTCGGTAGTCTGAACTACCTAGTCCTACCTAGCGGACATTTAAAAATGGCGGCGTCCGGTGAGATGCAAATGAAGCCCGGGAAATTCAAATCCCGGACTTCATTTGCAACTCCGGTTGCCTACATTACCACCCTAGTTCGAATTAGGGTGGTAGTGTAGACATACCCTCCTATAGTAGCAGTATGACTGGCTCAGTGGTTGAACTACTATTGGCCCCACTGAGTCTATGCTGTGTCTTTTTAGTAAGGCTCACTGAGAATGGGAACACTCTTTAATGATACAGTAGTGCTGTAATCAGGAAGCATTGATGTTTGCAACATCTAACTATAGGAAAACTGTGAGATTTAGAAAGGGCCATGCTGTGTTGAACAGCTGTTCCCTCATCCCCCTACTGCCTGACATGCAAAACAAAACTTAGCACCCCAACCATCTATTGTCCTCATGGACTGACTTTAATTTCAGGCCTGGAGGGAACACTGCTTAGGAGATTACTGTAAAGAGAGGAGGACAGAGAAAAAAATCCATTGGGAAAAAAAACCCAGTGTAGAAAAGTACAGAGCACCATATATAAGACAACCATGTAACAGCATAGATTTTGGGGCAGTTCTTCTCTTCCTGATTCATTGCATAGGCTTTCCTTCCATTGAAAAATGTTTGTTTTAAAAATCATGAATGGCTTGGAAAAAAATCATCTGTTTAATCTACAAAAGAAAAAGATTGGAAGCAGGCAAGTTTCGTAACATCCATAAAAATGTAAGAAGCTAATAGAATCCCAAGATTCCAGAAAATTGGCACATTTGTACTGTAACTATATAATCATGTAGCACCTACTTTCACACTCTTAGGGCATATCTATACAGCAGGGCTAAACTCGAAATAAGCTACACAACTTCAGCTACGTTAACTGTGTAGCTTTAGTCAAAATAGATTATTTGGACTATTGGCACTGTCTACACAGCAGTTATTTCAAAACAGAGCACTCTTCCCCCGACTTCCCTTACTCCTCAAACTGTGAGGTTTACAGGAGTCAGAGTAAGAAGCCCATTATATTGAATTTATTTCAAAACAATGGGCTTGCTGTGTAGACGCACACTGCATTATTTTGGAATCACTGACGTTATTCTGAAATGATGCTGCTGTGTACACATAGCCTTAAGGTCTACTCTAGTATCATTAGATCTACTTAGATTTACTAATAATCTTCCTATATCACTTGATAATTAGTCTTCACTAATACTCTTCCCCATTGTCTGAAGCAGTTAATTAATCTTCCCAATGTCTTCAGTAGTTAATCTTCTGGATAGCTCTTTAGCTCATTAAGTATTCTTGTTCCCATTTTTTTCACATTTAGATTGTTCTTTTTTAATTATGAGCAAGCCATTATAATTCTTCTTGCAATTTGGACAAGATACAAATTAGAATATTTTTCAAAAGCTGGAGGTAAAACTAATGAATACTACTTTACCAGGTTTTCTGCTGATTTGTGCTTACATGAAAGCCAAAGTGACTTGGAACTGAATGAACTTCTACTTAATTCTCAGTGCAGCATTTCTTACCATTCCAGCCCTCCGGGCAATAACAGTGTGAAACTGGCCATCAGACACTTCCTTCGTTGTGGTAAGTTTATATGTGCCACTGCCAAGATTGTAGGAGAATCTCAGTCTTTCTTCTGTTATTTCCAGAGCCAGGAATTCTGCCCGTTCTCCAGTCTGGTTGTCATAGTTATACAGCAGTAAAGCATTACTTTTGATGGTTGCAAACTTTATATAAATATAATTGTTGTTCGGATCCATACTGGGAAACTCCATATAGGACAACTCTTCAAATCCATAACTATTCAATTCACAATGATTTCCAAAGACACCTATAAATGGAAAAATATGTCTATTATTGAATTGTTTTTATCCCATTTAATCAAAGGCCATGACATAAAGCAGGTAGTTCAGTGCTTTTAGATGTGTTTATAACATGAAGTTTCTTAAAAATCTTCTTAAAAAGTCACAAATCAATAGTGTTGTTAAAATACATACAGTTCAAAACTAAAAATTAAATTATAGACAACTCGAAAAAAGAAATGTATACTTTTGTTAACATCTAGAGGTGTTTTGAAAAGACTTTTGCAGTTAGATTGTGGCAAATATAGATGTCAATGGACATACTTTATTTTAGTTCAGATATGGGGACAGATTTGTTACTGAACATTTACATCTAGATTTTCGCTTCCCATTTTGTTTCCCATTTCACTTGTATAACCTGAGAGTAATTTATAGCTAACTAATTGATACAGCTTCATTCTTCTCCTCTCCCCCGCACTCCCTCCAATGCTGTGTTTGTATTTATTTGTGCTTGTTCTTTTTCCATTTAGTTTTTAAACTGGCTTTTATTGTTACTGCAATGCTGAGCCAAAGAATTTTCCCCACAAATATTTGTGGACTTGTGTCAAATAATGTGAAGAGAAATTCAAGCCAAGGTGGAATGCATCTTATTAAACTTTGATTATTTCATTTCTTCTTGAATTTGGCTATACATTATCTATTAGTCCTTAGAGTTCAAGTCCATAATAAACTTAAAATATACTAAGCCTTGTCCAGGAGGATGTGCTTATTTTTAATTTGTTACAACCTAGTTTCTCAGTATAATCATAGAATAATAGAACTGGAAGGGACCTCAAGAGGTCATCGAGTCCAGTCTCCTCCCCTCACGGCAGGACCAAACACTGTCTAGATCATCCCTGACAGGTGTCTGTCTAACCTGCTCTTAAATATCTCCAGTGATGGAGATTTTGCAATGCCTTTGTTTAACCACCCTGACAGGAAGTTTTTCCCAATGTCCAATCTAAACCTCCCTTGCTGAAATTTAAGCCCATTGCTTCTTGTCCTATTCTCAGAACCCAAGGAAAACAATTTTTCTCCCTCCTCCTTAAAACACCCTTTCAGATACCTGATAACTGCTATCATGTCTACTCCCAGTCTTCTCTTTGCTAAACTAAAGAAGCCCAGTTCTTTCAGTCTTACCTCATAGGTCATGCTTTCTAGACCTTTAATCATTCTTGTTCCTCTTCTCTGGACCTTGTCCAGTCTTTCCACATCGTTCTTGAAATGTGGTGCCCAGAACAGGACACAATACTCCAGTTGAGGTTTAATCTGAATTTTATTTAATTTTGTTTTATTTAATGTGAATATGTATGTGCCCTCCATCCCTTTCTTTCCAACTGTCACTGAACTGTGTAATTACATTTTTTGTTTCTCTTAATCTCTGAAAGTTAGATACATTTATAATGAAATCTGATTATAGATATAGAAAATGAGTCTCTCTGAGAAAAATGATATAAAATAGGATAAACATTACAAAGTCCAAAACCCATGATAGTTCACACACCAAAACAGTGAAAATATTTGTTCTGAGAAACATTTTTCTAAGATAGGGTTACTCTTTTTGGCTGCCTTTTAAAATATTTTTTTTTTGGGGGGGGGGGTCAGCTTTTCTTTTTCTGTATACTGTAATTTGTTTTATTTAACATCATTCTTTTCAGCATGAACAAAAACAATTCACAATGGCTCTGAGCTCAGACCTAAGTCTTGCGTGACTGTACCAAGATCCCTGAAGTTAGCCTTTATGTTTTGTATCATTAGTGAGTGCTCAATTCCTAGTAGACATTAATAATAATTAACTTCAAATGATTATTAAAATATTGATAGGAGTATATGAAAGAAGTTACCTTTTTCTGTAACTGGTGTTCTTCAAGATGTGTTGCTCATATCCATTCTATAGTAAGCATATATGCTCGTCATGTGTGCTGGTGCTGGAAGATTTTCCCTCAGCAGTAAGCAGTATCCACAGGGGACCAGCGTTGATACCCTCTGAAGTGGCACTGCCAGCTTCCCCCGGGTCAGTTCCTTCTTGCCAGAAAGTCAAGATTCAGTGCAGAAGGAGAGCGAATCATAGAATGGACAGGAACAACACATCTTGAAGAATAACAATTGTGGGAAAAGGTAACTGTCTCTCTTCTTCAAGTGCTTGTGTAATCCACACACCTATTGTGGTTCACCTAAGTGTAATGGCACTTAGACCACTTACAGCAAGAGCTCAAGCTGTAAAAGCACCGACACTAAGCTTCACTTGCTCATGTCCATTCCATATTATGCCCGCATTGCTATCTGGATTCGCAAGCAATGTCTGGGGTTCACTGGGCTTCACTGCTCAACACGAGCAGGGATCCAGCTTCCTGACAGGGTGTTGAGCTGCCCACCATAAATCTTCCCTCTCCCAAGCCCTGTCTTTTCCTTTTTGGAGAGCAGCAGATCAACCCCTTACAGTCTTTCTTGGCTTCTTAGTCAGAGCCATAGATGGAAATTAGAGCTGGCTCGCAGACAGCATCAGTGGGGCACTCCGCACCAATGCTGCCGTGCTAGATGCTGAGTCAGACCTTTGCTTCAGTGCTGGAGTGAGTGCTGCCTCCATCAGGAACCTGTTATCATGCTCCTTTTTAATTCTGGGCTTGATGGACTTGCAGATACACTTGTCGCTCATGTGCCTTACACTCAAGCAGCTAAGATAACTGGGTGGGGGATCCAGGGAATTCACTTATGGGCTCAAAGCCTGGGGACCTGAGCATGCCCCATTTCCCAGATGAGTCCCGTTCAGGACTAATTAAAACTCTAAACTACTGCAAAGGGTAACTAGCTAAACTTTTAACTGTACATAACTAATCTACAAGATCACAAGGATGGAGAACAAACACTACCTGAAGCAGCAGATGTTCCATGCACCCTAACTGGTGGCAAGAAAAGAATGAGGGTAGGGAAAACTGATGATGCCACTTATATTGCACCATGTCAGTGGCACTCAAGAAGGCACCAAAGCCAGTTCCCTATAGATGCTGCTGAGGGAAAATCTTCTGGCACTGATACAAGTGAGGAGCACACATACCTAATATGGAATGAACATAAGCAAGGGCTCGAAGAATTTTTGGTTTTATTCTTAGAATTTATGTCTAGGAACAAAGCAAACAATAAACAGAATGCACCAAGATTACTGTGGATTGATAATATGTTTCAATCTTTCCACGGCTTTTCTAATATTTTTTTAGGGAGGTCTAATAATTATAAAAATAAATGCCACACTTAGTACAGTAAAACTCCAGTGGTCCGGCATCCAATGGTCGGGCACTCCTGATGGTCCAGCACCATCTGAAACCCGAAAGTGCTCCGGGCAGCCGGACAATTGTAGCTGCTCTGCCCCAGGCTTCCCCCAGTCAGCCGCTGGGCAGGTTCAAGTCTGGGGCAGAGCAGCTGGGGTGCTGCTGGGTTGGTCCCGCAGCGCCGATGGGTGCATCTCCCCCACTCCACCCCAGATCCCTTATAGCCCCACCTTCCGATGGTCCGGCACAGTTGATAATCCGGCACTCTCTGGGTCCTAAAGGTGCCGTATTATCGGGGATTATATTGCCCATGAACAGGCTGAGTCAATTACGTTTGTTGAATCAATTCCTGCATAGTTCTGAATTGTGAATGCAAATGTGATTACTTTGTAAGAATACTGACATTCATCAGAAATTCCCCTTTTAGACCTAGTAAACAGAATAGGATATCTTTGTGTGTGTGTGTTAATTGCTAGTATGTGGACCAACAGAAACTGGCTGTGGAATTTACAATACACGATTTGAAATCTTTACACTTACTAAAACTAGGATCCTACCAAATTCACGGTCCACTTTGATCAATTTCACATTCATAGGATTTTAAACATGGTAAATGTCAAGATTTCAGCTATTTAAATTTCAGAATGCTGTTGTGGAGGTCCTGGCCCAAAAACAGTGTTGTGGAGAGTTTCAAAGTTATTGTAGAGAGGACTGTGTTACTGCTACTATTCTGCACTGCTGCTCATGGCAGAACTGCCTTTAGAGCCGCACAGCTGAAGAGTGGTGGCTACTGGCCAGGAAGGCACCAGGATGGAAGGCATGACATGGTATCACCACCCTATTTCTGCATTGTGCTAGCAGGATGCTACCTTCAGATCTGGGTGCCTGGCCAACAGCTGCCACTCTCTGGTCATCCAAGTCCCTGTTGGGTCAGGACCCACCAATCTCCCCTGTGAATTCTGTATAGTATAGGGTAAAAGCACATGAAAGAGCAGATTTCATGGGAAGAGACCATATTTCATGGCCTGTGATAGATTTCTCATGGCTGTGAATTTGGTAGGGCCCTTCCTATAACTCTGTATATTTATTCAGAACTCAGAGGTGTGACCTGCTTTCAATGGGACTCCTTGTGTGAGCAAGTAATCACCAATGCAAATAAGGGCTGCACAATTTAGCACTAAAAATATTTCTGGGCTTTTCATCTGAGAAATGGCTGCACCTCTATTCTGGAATACCAGCAAAATAACCAAAGGAAAATAATGAACTATAGTTTTAGGGAATCCAAAAGTGGGGGCAACATGAAACCCAAACAATCCAGGGGAGTTCATTGATGGATTGTGTAAGGAAGTGATGCTTGACCTGGTGCAATCTGAGCAGCCTGGTTCTTTGTGGGCTGCTGTGAATGGAGGGTAGGAAGGCAGCTGTGATTTGGGCATATAAAGTGAGAGGTTCCTTGTACGCGTGCAAATATATGCAACACGTACACACACACACACACACACACACACACACACACACACACACACTCAAGGACCAATCAAAATCTGTCCC